TCAGTACCCGGAGGGCAGCACTCTTACACACTTCCAGCACCATGGCGTAGCAGTGGTTTTATTACAGATAAAGTCAAGGCACGTTACTAACACGCATCACAAATTTTTGCTCCCACTGCTACCTTCTTTAAGAGCCTGATGGTTATTATTGGTGCGCACACTGTCCCTTTTCACTTCCAAAGTGCACATGTGAGCTGTGTAAACTCTCCACAGAGAATGAGAAGTACTCAGTCAACACTCAATTTGACGTTTTGCTTTCCAGTCACTAGAAAGTCCAACCTGGTTGATCCTTCTTTGCTCTTAAGAAATCTTCTGTCATGCGAATTTCAAACCCAGAGCTTCCCCCAGTCCATGTAACAGACGGTAACTTGGTCTTTGAAGGCTGCGTAACTACTCTTGCCCTTTAAAAAGCAATGATTTTCTGCTTTAAACGTTAAGCCTGCGTAAAGAACCATATCCTGGAGAAAAGGTTAGGAGGAGGGTCAGTAACCTTGTGGCAGGCAGAAGCACAATCAAAGCCAGCAAAAGCTTTGACAAGCAGAATTTATAAAGCAGGTAACATCACCAAGATCCAACTGGTTTTATATAAATACTGGTGGCTGGACAAAAAAAAAAACACCTGCAACAAATTAACATGGATTAAACACCAGTAACATATCTTGACCTTGGCAGAACCAAGATAGCTATTTTGATTCTTCACACCAGGACAAATTCAGTGGCAGTGATAGTCAACTATATCAGTATGGAATATCTGTTCTATAGCTGTCAGTCAGAATAAGGTTAAACATGAGGGACTTAGATTCATCTCCTCAGCTGGAGCAAATTTCACAAGATGTAACAGGGTATTTAAATTTTTAGATGCTGTATAAAATTACTTTCTTGAAGCAGAGTTTTAGGAGCAGTATTCTTGGCATAGTCCTGAATTATGCAGAAGGCCTGCTTCAAGGGCTGACTGTCGCAGTCCGTAACATAGGCATAACCCTAAATCCTTGTCCGAGCAAGAAATCCAAAATCATGTGCAACCTCAAAGCTAGAAATAATGTCTTTATAGGCAGCACAATATTCTTAAATTCCTTAAAAGTTCAAGCTTGATGGGTGCCAGGGTCTACAAGGTCAACAGAGGTTAGCATAGTCAGATGAGACTGAGTTAGGCTCATCCTTTTTGCAAGAAGACATGCCTAAACAGGAAGAGAGAGAGGTGGACAGCCAAAATTCACAACAATAAAAAAAAAAGAGCAATAAATACCTGTGAGGAATAACATACTAACAGCCTAAAATCAAGTATCTTTTTCAAGCACGTCACACACACTTGCCTGTCTGCCAGGGAGATGAAGCCCTGGTGCAGCAAGAGCTTGGAATGCAGCTGGTGAAAGAGGTTCTCATGTCAGAGCTACTCTTCACAAGGAAAGCACAGCTCACATCTGTAGGTACCTGTTTGTTAACATTAGAGACTTAGCACCTAATAAAACACAGGCAAAGCTCCCCAGCCATTAACTGTGATGTATAACCCAATTTATCGCTAGCAATAGCTTGCAAATCTGACCAGTTCCTATATAGGAATTTTGGAAGACTGGGGAGATCCATGGGACTACTAAGAGTACTTGAGTTCTGAGTCAGTATATACCATAAGAAAGGACAGAAATAGTTGAGATGCTTATATAGGAGCAGAGACAGTGCCTTTTGTGGAGACAAATCTCAGATGTGAGGGAATATGTTAAAGGAGCAAACCAGTGCTGCAAGGACAGCATCTGAGACCAGGTAATGTACTTGGATTTCCAAAATACTTGGCACAGCTCTAGAAAAGGCTCAAGGGCAGGATCTACGTTGCTCAGCTTTTACAAAATGGGTATTTTCAAACAATTTTAAAAACCCCCCACCCAACATTATCTTCAAAGTCACAGAGCAACATCACTATACCGTTGCAAAGCAGTTCTATGTACCACCTAGAAAAAAAGTATACATAAAGGAAAACTGAAATCAAAACAATTTTCTCTTAAGCTTAGGGAAGTTGCCAAATGTTAAGAAATACACCAAAAAAAGGCAAAGAGAACACTCGGCGTGAACCTGGGAGGGAACTTTACATTAGTAACAAATGACCCCACATCATATGACAGAATGGGCAGCATTTTCCACACTGCACTACACTAGACAAAATTTTTGGAGGCAGAAGGCACGAGCAGAACTCAGAGCAGGAAGCTACATGTTCAGCCCGAGCTCTTGTCCTCTGTGGCCTGACCTGATCTACCCCCCACCTCAGGGTATCCCCAAACTGATGCCCCCATTCCACTTACCGATC